TGAAAATTAATTGACATTTCTATTAAACAAGTGCACGAAAAAAAGTAAATGCAAATAAAATTAATATATAAAACATTTTAGCATAATTTATAATACAATTATTAATTAGAAGATATAATTATAATCATAAATGTATTGAGTGAATCATATCACCTAGAACTTGTGCAACTGTGCTTTGAATTTCGTCGTTTTGTTGTAATTGAAGGGCTAATGTAGTTTCTGTTTCAGGTTTATAGTTATTCAATAATTCAATAGAATTAGATAGTGAGTCATTGGTTTCGTATAAGTTATCATTTGTATTTTTTATAATATTGATTAGGTCAGATAGTGAGTTAATTGTATTAATTGAAGTCTTACTTGTGTTGGTTATGGTTTCGGTTGGATTAGGAATTGGGTCATTTGTATCTGTTAACATTTCATTTGTATTACTAATTGCCTCAATAATATTTACAAATGAATCATTTGTAACTACCGTAAACCCCTTAGTATTATTTATTGGATTTTGAGTATCTGTCGAAGTAACTTCAAAATCCATCGACTCAATATTATCGAAGTTTTTTGGGATTTGTGTGTTACTTATACTAAGAAGATTCGATTGATTGCTTATTTGTTTTTCTCTCTCTTCATGTGATAGAAAGAATTTCCAAGTGTTTGATAATGATTCACCAATGCGGTCGTGTAATTGTAAATCCGTTATCTCTTGTCTTACATATTTTTTAACTTCTAATTCCATTGAGCTTTCGCTATAATCCCAAAAAACATTTAATAGGATTTCTAATTGTTGTCTATTTAGCGAATCACCATATTTATAATTTAGGAATAACCTATAATAGATTGAATTATATTCTTTACAATGGTCTCTTGATATGTGTAGAGCTGCCAACCAACTATCATTTGGGATTCTTGTAAATTTCGGTTTCCCTAATTCTGTACATAAAGTACATGATAGAGTCTCGACACTCATATGTTGGTAACAATGTACTATATAGTCTAGAATATTGCTGTATCTCATAACACTTCTACTTGGGTTTAATTCTGATAGCTTAGAACACATGAAGCATTTATATCGGTCGGGGTATGAGGAGCTCAAAGTGGAGAACACATTCTTTTGAGCTATAACGTGATTATTTATAGCAACCGTATGAAAATAAGAATTTCTTTTGGCTTCGAAACAGTAAAATTTACACTGAAAGCATTTCGTGAAATTTGTTAAATGCTTTTCACAATATATTTTACAATTCTCTTGACATTGGTGTCTGTATGTGTCTTTTTAAATAAAATGTTTTAATGTGTGAATTATGAATTCGGATTCATTATTTATGTGAACATTCATACAATAGATATAATAAAAGATGAATGGTTCATTTGGTTTATTCAAAACCTGACTATCCATTGAGGATGATTGCGCTGGTCGTGCATGTGATGACATCTGTATGTGTTTGAAATCATCTGTTAGCCGTCTTCTTTTTGGTTCCTTCCATCCATCAGTCACAAATGCATTGATTCTCTGCTGATATTCGCTTCTCTGTTGTTGTCCTTTGCGGCGCCTTTCGTCCAAAATTTCCTGAATTTGTGATGGGTAAGTTGGGGGGTCATATGGGGGATTTTGAGGACGTGCTTTCCCTCGGTTGGCGGTGAATTCATCAAACTATTTAAAAAATTCAAATTCACAAGCTTTTTTGGTCTGTAATGATGAAGCACTGGTTGTTGGCACTGCTGATTTAAACTTGAGTCGCACTGATTTTATGGGTAAGGGATTCTCACTGAAGATAAATTGTTTGTATGATATACCCTCAATTATCATGTCCGGGAAGTCTTTATCGGGTCGAAAACTGAAATTAGTTTTCAATTTTCGATTCACTTCACTGATAGCTGGATATATTCTGCACCGATTGCCCTGTGATCTGTTTTGAATCATTGTCTGAAACATTGAAGATTATATTTGATTAATTTCAACACTTAAGGATAAACATTAGGCATTCACTTCACTTGTTAACGACATTAAACAATACAATATTGAGCACTTATTGTTATGTTAATTTATAATATTTATAATATTAATAAATTATATTCAATAATTGGTTTTTTATATGGCTTAATTTAAGCGTTTTAATTTTTATGTTGTAAATATTTTGTAAAATAATATATAAGTAAAACTTATTACTCATATTATATCGATTAATACAGTAATGTACTACTACTACTATGGCTAGACTATAATACACATTTCTATACTATTTGTGCGTATTATCTACTATGTTATATAAAACAACTTAACCCTTAAAAACAATGTTTTTAGAAAATTAAAAAATCGGACAAGGTTTTGGGGCGAAGGGGGCTTTTTCTTAATATCCCTCCAGAGTTAGTAGGGAAGCCGCTAGTGACGATGTTTTCGACCGCTTACACAGCAAAGCCTTTTCATCGCACTTCTCGGACTCATAGTCCGCCCAATCAGGGCGAAAAAGCCTCCGGACCCTGCGAGGGTTTGCGCAGCACAACTCTGTCATCGGGAGTCGATAAGCCGTTAAGTGTCAATTTAATTTTGCCACTTGATTTAAATTTGAGCGTTCAATCAGGTACATGTAAATTCAATAAAATTCACAATTTAAAAAAAGGGGATTTATTTGTTTCAATCTGAAGATTGAAAGATATATATATATATATATATATAAAAATTTTATGTTAAGTGTTTATCGTTAAATATATATTACAATGATTTTCTTTTTTGTGGTTTATAATAAAAAATATAATTAAAATACTGAACTTACATTTGCTTATAAAGTTTGCACACTTGTTATTTTCTATAAAATGTAGACTAATTAACAAATGTCTTAATATTTTGTAAACAGACTCATTTAATTAATAAGTTCAATGAATAAATAATGGAAATATTGTCAATTAATAATTGCATTATATCGATCATATTATATAATAAATGTATTTGTAATAGTAAAATTTAATGTTGCATATAATTAAATATATATATATTAAGATAAAATGTTAAATTTTATATAGCTTACTATTTTATCATAAAATATTATTATATTGAATTAACTTTCTGTAATACGAAATCATTTATAAAATAACATGGCTATAACACAAATAATGCATATGATTCTCACTGAATATTCTGTATACTGATTATTATAGTAAATAATTTTGATAAAATGTTTTATATGTTAATTATATTAGCATATAACCTGTTGTGGTACACTTGTTTAATAAAAATTTCAAATAAATTTCAAAACATCTTAGTATTCAATAAACAGGATCATTTAATAAATTAGGTTAATGAACAAATAATGGAATTTAATATATGCTAATTAACATTTGTATTATATTGATAAACTCAATTAATAAATGTTATTACAATATATTATATGAGCTGGGGACAATCATAGTAACGTTAGCTTTTTATATTATGTCTTTTGTACTCATAATGATAATAATATAAGAAAACTGGAGGACGGTTGGTCACGCTGCTTATAATATCGATATGAGCGAGGTGATAGATTATGATGCCAATTTTAAAAATAGCAGGATAATGAATGATAGTATCTAATAATAAAAGACATATTTTTAATATTTGGTAATTCTAAAATAGATTATATAAATAATTATATGAATAAAATAAATCAAAACGAGGATCGCAAATATTTTAGCTAGTAAGTAACTTTTCACTGCCTACGACTGATATATAAAATTTTTATCATGTATAAAAAATTTCTCATCGTGAATTTGATATATTTTAATTGATATTATATTTATATTGGTCCAGGTGATTTTCATACATACCTCATATCCACGGAATCGGTTTATAATAAATAGTTTCCAACAATAAAAGCCAACTTTATTGGTGCCAATCCTTTCAATCATTACTGTTAACTATATTGTAATCAATGAATAATTAATTTAAATTTGAATGAAAGAGAGAGAGAGCGAGTGAGTGAGTGAGAGAGAGAGAGAGAGAGAGAGATTACCTTCAGTTTATTCATAACCGTAATAAGTTTTGTATGATTTATGTATGAATTCATTAGATTATATGTATATTTAGCCTCATTATATAATTGACAGGATGTGTGAATTATAATTAGTAATATAGTAACATAAATTGTGTTGTTTAATAGTAGCATGATCTTATTAATTAAATTAGATGAACTAAATATAAATGTGTAAACAAATACAGTGATTAATACGCAAAATGAAAGCCAAAATGTTAGTAAATATTTGGACAAATAATTGTTGTTATATTCATGTATTTCCACATAAATTGCATTCAATTCACGGATAGTTTTTGTAATAAATAAGTAATTTTCATGATAACCATATTTTCTTAATTTTATAACTCTGTCATGTATTTCATTATTGATAATTTTAATTTTTGATTTTAAATAAAAGGTAATAATAAAGTAATAAAAAGATGAATATATTACTATACTATAGACATAGCTGCCCAAAATAGCATGCACAATTGAAATGAAAATAACAAATATAAAACTTATAAAATTAAACTCAATAACACTAATGAATATATTAAATACAAATGCAAATGTTATGAATGTTGCTAAATTTACAATTAATTTTGAATAATAAAAGTTTTTGCGACATAAGATTGATAATTTGTGAATTAATTGATGGTCATGGATCTGGATACTTTTAGGTGCAACAAATCCGCTAATCATTTGAAATACTCTCAAATCCGTGGGATTTTTACCATTTCTGTAGTTATTATAGTTTATGAGTTGTAATGTCATCGAGAATATTGTGGACATAATAATTGTTAAATTCATTGTGTATCGAGTATTTAGAAAATGATCCAGATCACTTATACAGATGTATTGTAAATTAGATAATTTAATATCGTATATATAAACATATATTGAACATGAACATTTTATTAACATGATCATATTGATTAAGAATATTACCACAGGGTTATAGAGTTTAGACCGTTGCTGATCGGAAAGGGGTCTAAATAGTGATAAACCAATGCGATAGACATGACTGTCAGCACCCCTTACACGCCACTCCATGGGTATAGGTTGAGACAGGTCAATATTTACATTCATTGTTAAATAATATATTTAATGATATTAATAGTCTATGATTCTCACTTGATTATATACTGACTATAATAATAAATAATTGAGTAGAAACGAAACTTTTTATACTTTATTGATATTTGCTTATAAGGTTGCACAATTGTTATATTTTATAAAATGTAGACTAATTATCAAATGTCCTAATATTTTGTAAACAGACTCATTTACTTATTAAGTTTAATGAACACATAATATAACGTATTTCATTATTTCATAATTACATGTATAATATTTGTTTAATTAATAATTATATTATATTGATCATATTATTTAATAAATGAAACTTTGACATTATTTGTGATAGGACAATCATTTAATTAATTAGTTTGATGAACAAATAATGGAATTTAATATGTGCTAATTAACATTTGTATTATATTGATGAATTCAATTAATAGATATTATTATTACAATATACAGCTATGGACAGGCATAACTAGGACAGGTTTTTGTTAGATTACTTCAAAACCGCAAATTCTATCTTGGTTCTGACTTCAGGATCTTGTTCTCAGATAAATTATGCGTAATTTGGTATATAAATTAATATTTCTATCTTACCCTGTTATTTAGATTCACCATAAGGCCGGCGGATCTAAAGTGAGTGAACCCTATATTTGAAGGCTATTTGTGCGATAATTATGCAAAACAAGGCTGTGTTATGTCATGTAAACTACCGTTCCGTTTGCCATATATTTCAGCATCAATTGCACGAGACGTTCGTTTGCGGTGAGGGAACGGTATGGGATCAGTCGTCCTTTGTCTGCAGGTATGTCATCATTTTGCTTTCACCTCAAATTCCCTCTCATGTAATATAAACTGTATGTTAATAGTTGACTAGTTTTTAGCAATGTCATATAGTGTTTTAATAACTAAAATATTTGGTAGGTGATACCCAGTTGTATTAATTTGTTTTTCACTTTTACCATATAATATAAACTGTAAATAATTTAGTATGCATTAATAGCCTAGCACAAATATACTTATATCCACCTACATTATTGGTCAGGATTTCACATTTCTATTTTTCTCTATCTCAATTTTGTTATACAAATATTTTAATTATTATATTTAGTTAATTATTTATAAATTATAATATTAAATAATTTTAATATCATAGTTTTCAGATATAGCACAATTTCCAAACATTTATTTTATTAGTATTTTAGTATTTAATAGTTTTATAAAATAATATAGTATTTCCAAAACAATAAATTTAATATTTATTTGGGAAAATACTGTATATACTAGCTCACTTAAGTACACTTACTCATCGCATTCCTGAATATTTCAAGTAATTTTCATTTCTATACTATTATCGCAATTATAATACAATTTATGGAAATCCTATACATAATATAAAAATTATAATACAATTCATTAGTACTTTTTCAATCATAACAAACACTTTCTCTGTGTTCACAGAAAATAACAAAAAACTTTTTTGTGTGTTATTCCCAAAAGTCTACCAAAAAAATAAAAAATAAAATTCAAATTCAAATCTTATTGTGTGTTTCACAAAATAATTGTGAAAATATATTTGCGGTGCAAAAAGTCATTTTTATTCATAAACCCTATTATTATTAAATAAATTATAAATTTGCCGTGCACACAATAGAATTACAGTTAACGTTAATTATATGGGAATGGGATTTTAATAATTTTATAGGTAGGCATCCCCATTTAACGTATTGAATTATACGTATAATAAAAATATTATTTTAATATATTCAGTATAATAAATTTCATACATAAAAATCAATATATAATAACCCCTTTTATCACCCCTACCCCCATACACCTACACACAACAAAATCTTATTAACAATAGCTATGAATAAGTACTAATAAATAAGATGTATTATACAGTATTTAAATATGTGACCCAGGTGTCAAAATTGGCTATAAACAATTTTATTGATTATTTGACTAGTTTATTATTTCCTGAATAAATCTTTATTTTACCAATTTTTATTACCGTATTATTTGTTATACAATATACAGTATTGTATATTAAATTATANGGTGTCAAAATTGGCTATAAACAATTTTATTGATTATTTGACTAGTTTATTATTTCCTGAATAAATCTTTATTTTACCAATTTTTATTACCGTATTATTTGTTATACAATATACAGTATTGTATATTAAATTATATTATACGGTTAGGCATAAAATTGATTTCATAAAATAAATGTATATGCTTGTTTATTTAATTAGTTTTATTTTTACTGAATATTTAAGTATTTCCAAATTAATTACACTCAACGCTACTGTGTATGCATAAATAACTAATTGACATGGCTAATAAATTAATATTATTACCATATTTGCATAAATAATTTTTTCAAATATAAAACTTATGTAGTATATATTTTTCGTGCAATTTGTAATTGATATGCAACTATTAAAATAATTTGTTTTTTATTGTATTGTATTTTAAAATTACTAATGTTTAGATGTTTGTTTAAGGTATGTATTAAGGCATGTAGGCTAATAGAGTTAATCTATCTGCCCTAGTTAATTGAATTAGCCGTTTGTGATGACTATAATTTCACTGATCATTTTTTATAAAGGCTGTGTATTTACTGTCTGTCCTCTTGCTAACAAATATACGGTAATCCTCTTAAACACTGTATTCATTGTACGGCTTATTACTAATGATTTATAAAATACTTATTTTTGCATAACTAGTTGTTTTCAAGTCTCTCTCTCTCTCTCTCTCTCTCTCTCTCTCTCNTCTTAAACACTGTATTCATTGTACGGCTTATTACTAATGATTTATAAAATACTTATTTTTGCATAACTAGTTGTTTTCAAGTCTCTCTCTCTCTCTCTCTCTCTCTCTCTCTCTCTCTCGTGACATGTTTAAGGAATTGTTGTTAAATCGAAAAATATCATTAAAAATGTTATATTTTTGTTTTCATTTTTATAAACCTTTTCCGTAACTCTCACCTGATTTTAAAAAAATTACAATAAACTCATCTATTTTAAATAATTTATTTGAATCTGAATTTTAATATATAAATTAATAATTTAGTGTAACAAGAATCCAACAAGCTACTTATAATTACACTTACTTGTCAAGTAATTAATAAATAATTTTAAAACAATGAGCATACAGATTATTATTACACGTTTTATTAAATAGCTATGTTTACCATAGCATACTGTTTTAATAAAACGCATAGATTAATTTTCCAACCAACAATAAATTAAATAATTATAATTTAATCTTTTTACCTTGGTGACACCACCCTAGGCACGATAACGATGCCATACCGTGTTCAGCATCGCCGGAGTTTTTCTACCTAAATGAGCGCATTGGTAACGCTACGGCCGACTTTTTGGGCCCGGCTGATATTGAAAAGGCTAAAAACGCCCGACCAGACTACCGGGCCCGAGCCAGGGCCAGGGCTAGAGCGCGGGCAGCCCGGGCTTAATATATATGTTTATTTAAAGTAAATGTACCAGTTTGTCTATTTTTAGTGTCAATGTGTTATTTGATGTATAAATGAAAATAAATTTTTTATATTTTTCACTTATCTTGTTTTTAAAAAGAGTTAATCATGCATGTTATTTTTATTTATTGCTAATGTGTAATGTAATTGTTATTTAATAGGTGTGCATAATTGTAAAATGTATGTATGTTTATTGATAGTCATGTTATCGATTAAACTGTCAATCAATCAATAAATTATATAATATGGAAAATGAAAAATATTTAATTTATAATTTAATAGTGAGTAATTTTACACAATTAGTACAAATATTTAGTTTTATTTTAATCTAGGTTTATTTTTTAATAAACGAGTGCATGAATTACATTAGTTATACAATGTGTTATACATAATATGAGCTGGGGACAATCATAGTAACGTTAGATATTTTTATTAATACTTTAAAATGCAGTAATATTTGAACCTGATAAGTCATAGTACTACTCGTTTAGCTTAAACCTATGTATATTTTATGAATAATTGACTTTTGGATAAAATTAATAATTAGATATAATAAATATAAAAAGCTAACGTTACTATGATTGTCCCCAGCTCATATAATCATATGATATAACACTTAAATGCTGATATTGACATGAATGAGGTGATAGATTATGATGCCAATTTCAAAAATAGCAGGATAATAAATGATAGTATCTAAAATTAAAAGACACATTGTAAATAATTTGTATTTTTAAAGTAGATTATATAAATGATTTGATGAATTAAAAAAAATCAAAACCGGGATCGCAAATATTTTATTTAGTAAGAAACTTTTCACTGTTTCCGACAGTTATATAAAATTATCACTATGTGTAAAAATTTCTCATCGTGAATATGATATATTTTAATTCATATTATATTAATATAGGTTCAGGTGATTTTCATACATACCTCATATCCACGGAATCGGTTTATAATAAATAGTTTCTAACAATAAAAGCCAACTTTATTGGTGCCAATCCTTTCGATCATTACTGTTAACTATATTATAATCAATGAATAATTAATTTAAATTTGAGAGATAGAGAAAAAGAATTACCTTTAGTTTATAAATAATCGTGATCAGTTTTGTACGATTCACGAATAAATTAATATTTCTATCTTACCCTGTTATTTAGATATTTAAAGTTAAAGTTGTAAGTGGAAAATTTTTGATTTTCTCATAGAAAATATATGGCAATTTTTCAACCAATGCTTCTAACTCAGCTTATATGAAAACAACTGTATCTTGGTTATTTTATAACCGATTTTTAATATTGAAACATCAATTTGCGTTAA